CTCCCTCCAATAAAAAATCTATAATTTAGTTAACAAAAATATTAATATATTATAATAGAGGTTTAAACTATCAGCAACTAATTTATAACCGAGATATAGAATTTTTGGACTTAACTGAATTCTAGCAATTGCAGTCAGCCTTTCCACAAAAGTGCCAAGATCTGTGATTCAGGAGTATGAGGAGAGCCATCACATCTCCAATCACTAGCTTATGATCCATCCTAGCAAAGAATTAGACCATATCATGGCTTGAACTATCACATAACAATATTAATTGGGAGCATTCCAACAATTTTATTATTTATTTATTTAATTTATATTGGCGCCTATTTGCCCATGGCAACTCAATTTGTTTTACATTTTTTCAAGTTATCTGCTAGCTAATAACTAATGTTTATGTTTACATTCCCTTCTATAATCCTGTAGAGATTTGGGGCATGGAATTATACTTATTCTTACATTAATTATAATTAATGCAATTATAATTATTCTTACATTAAGAACAGAAAATTTAAAAATAAACTACTTTGAATTTAACTTTTGCTGTGCTGAAACAATAAACAAGGAGAGGAGTAACTTAGGTTAAACTGTTTGATCAAGTTTTGCTAGGACATTTTTTTAGAAACATACCCATCTGATAATTCAAGATTATTTAACCTAAGCAATTTTATCTTCTTGACATCTTCCATTGATCTTTTATCCATTAAAGCCTCCAGAAAATATAAAGTGAAGACAGCCTATTTCACCCTATCCCAATCTGGTACCATTGTATCTAGATATATGTTACATTTCCGATACTACAGGTAGTTCTTAACTTACGACTATTGAGCCCAAAAATTATGTTGTTAAGACGTTTGTTAAGTGAATTTTGCCTCATTTTATGACATTTCTTGCCACAGCTGTTAGGTGAATCATTGCAGTTGTTAAGTTAGTAACCTGGTTGTTAAATGAATCTGGCTTCTCCGTTGACTTTGCTAGTCAGAAGATAGCAAAAAGTGATCACATGATCCTAGGACGCTGCAATAGTTGTAAGTGTGAATCAGTTGCCAAGCATCTGAATTTTGATCACATGCTCATGGGGATCCTGCAGTTTGTAACTATGAAAAATGGTCATAAGTCATTCTTTTCAGTGCCATTATAACTTTGAATGGTCACTAAATTAATTGTTGTAAGTCGAGGACTACCTGTATTGTATCTAGATAAATGTTATATTTATCAGCATTTCTAACTGTCACAGATAAAAATGAAAACCCCAACATATCTGGAGGTCTATTCAGCAGTCTCCAAACTTGGCAATTTTAAGATTTGTGGACTTCAACTCCCAGAATTTCCCAGTCAGCATGGCTGGCTGAGGAACTAGATATATAACATTAGGGTGAGTAGAAAAAAGTAGATTAGCAAGCAATTAAATCAGAAAATTTTAGACATTAATAAAGTCAGACACACGTGAAGTATATGGACAATATAGTCTAGCCAGACAGCATACTGTACATATTTCTGATATTCATGTCATAAACTATGACATTTACATTATGGACAGAGTTCATTATGGTCCAGAGCTCCCAGTTCAGATCGGATCAGGTGAACAAGTAGTAGCAGCGGGAGACTCCACCCACCCGCCTGGTCGCACAAACATGCCCGAACCGGTAGTAAAAAAATTAGTAATCCACCACTGATTACAAAGAAGACAGAACAAAAAAATACACCTACATCTGTAATATTAAAAATACAGTTATGTTACAAAATACATTATTTAAATAGACAGGAGGGTTCTAAAGATTCTTTTCCCCAGCATGAAGTTTCTGAATGAGTAGTAAAATTTCTACTGTAATAAAATGAACTAAATATAATATATCCAAAGTCATGGTCTTTGTGAGGGAATATAGAAAAATGAAGTAAAATCATTCTGTAGAAATAAATAGGTCCACTCAATTTCTGGATGACTTCCCAAAGCTTGAGAAACCTATGCAATATGGTTTTACTTCAATGATAAAAAATATTATATGGCTATATAACTTTACACATTTATACACTAAATTGCAAGATTTCTGGAACTTTGAATAAGCCAACAATAACATACAATAGTACTTTCTACAGTATTGCTCTTCTAGTTAGTTACCGTACTTGGATAACTAAGACAGGTCACAGATTCATGTGAGCCAACTCCTTATCTAATTCATTTATCAAGACATTTTGTGAAACAAAGCAGAAGGCAATGTGGTACAGTGTTTGTGTACTATATAGTGCATTGTGCACCAAATATATCTTACCCTCTAACCAAAGGGTTGACAGCAGTGGTGGGTTGCAAATCCCGTTCCAACCGGTACGGCAGGTGCTCTATGCGCCATGCACCTGTGCGGAAGCGCAAAAGCCTTTAAACTCCGGTAAGGAGCTCGGGCGGGTGGGCCCTCCGGAGCACCATACCGGAACGGTATCCGGTGCTTCGGGCTGGCTCTGGTATGCGTGTATCGGGGCGTGCCGCCTGCAACCCACCACTGGTTGACAGGATAAAANGGGGGCCCCCCCCCCCCCCCCCCCCCGGTCCTCTGGTCCCTCTCGTGGTGGAGGACGACAGCGGTCGAGAAGGGGTGTCTCTTCAAAGAACACGAAAGGATTGTGGTAACCACAGACGCCAGTCTGAGCGGCTGGGGGGTTCACTGTCAGGGCCAGCTTGCTCAAGGTCTGTGGAACCAGGGGGAGGCCGCCCAGAGCATAAACTGGCTAGAGCTGAGGGCCACCCGCCTCACCTTACGACAGTTCTCGCGCCTGGTTGTGGGTCACCATGTCCTATTGTTGACAGACAACGTGGCCACCAAGGCCCACATAAACAGGCATGGCGGGACTCACTCCAAGAGGCTCATGACAAAGGCGGAGTCGCTGGGCAGGTAGGCAGAATGCCACCTGGCATCCATAAAAGCGGACCACATCTCTGGGACCAGCAATCAGGAAGCAGATTGGCTGAGCAGATAACAGATCGACCACACCAAATGGCAGCAGCATCCGGACTTGTTCCAGCAGATCATGAGGAGATTTGGCAAACCGCAAGTAGACCTCTTTGCCACACACTCCAACAGACATCTGCCACGGTTCTTCTCCCGATACCATTCCCCATTGGCGGAGGGGACGGATGCGCTGAGGTGCAAGTGGCCCCCAGGACATTTGTATGCATTCCCTCTGCCACTCATCCTGCAGGTTGTGACCAAGATACTGGCGGAGGGAGCGGAGGTCCTCCTGGTCGTGCCTCACTGGCCCAGGAGGTCCTGGTATGTGGACCTGGTAGGTCTCTTGGTCCGGAAACCGTGGAGATTTCCTCAAGACCAGATCTCCCTTCGCCAGGGTGCCATCAGCCACCCGGCTCCCCAGTGGTTGCAGTTAGCCGTCTGGCACTTGAGGAGGAGCTCCTGAGGAAACAAAGACTCTCAGACAAGTTCATTCGTACTATCCAGGCATTCAGTGCAGATAGACTGTGTTAACCCATGCTTGGACTCTCCTTGCAGCGCCCAAAGAACGACCGTTCAGGTAAGCCAACGGTCTCCCCCCCCCCCCCAAAAAAAACCCCAAATTAACCTGAACAAGAACAGACTCAGCACCTTAATATTTCTCCAAGTAACCCTACTGAGAAATCTGGCTAGTCAAGGGAGAAATATTCCAACAAACCCCTACAGTTCTAACTCAGAAAGGAAACCTCTTCAAGTAGGTTGAACAAACAGCCAAGACTTCCAGGGTGGATTCTGTGGAATAGAAGTTAGAGAGATCCAACTTTGTGCACATTCAGTAACAGAAAAGCTGCCTTCCGTATAAACTGAAACTGCCCAACTATTAGTGGAAGAATTTGTAATAAACTGGCAAGAAGATGACTACAGTTTGAGTCACTGCAGCCAAATTAGTAACGGTCAAACCAGCTTTAAAGTTAACATTCTGTCACCTAGTGTCACAAATTACAAGACTAAATAATTTATTACACCAAAACTTTTGTGGGATTAATACGGTGTACAGAAAAGTATGTAGGGTATTTTAATTATTTCAATTATACTGATGCAGCTTTTGCCCCAACAAGCTTGTTTGAAAACCTAATTATCTTTGTTCTATTTATATTTCATTTCTACATGAAAAAAGTTGGTTCTCATTTTTCCTTGAATGTACATATGAAATTGCAGATACTGGGAAATGAGAAAACTTTGGTGCCTTAGCCTAGCCTAAACTCTCTATAGATTAAAAAAAAACTACAGACTTCAGAAAGAAAGTGTTAAAGCCAATGTAACTTGTACTAATTTTCTGATTACTAAATTATCTCATTTATATTTTCAATTAAGAGACTCAAATACATAAATATTTTTGGAGAGATGAGAATCAGAGAGGATAAAGATTTCAGATTTATTGGCCAATAATTGTTTAGAATCAAAGTAACAAAGTGCAGGGCAAAAGCTCTGCTGAATTTGGGAAAAGCAGAAAGAAGAAACAACAGGCTTATACTGCTATGGAACTGCTTCCGGACTCAAGTTGAGGGGGGCGGGAGCAATATTCCCTTATGTGTTTCAATCTCCAACCACCACTGAGCCACAATAGTATTTTAATTTGAGTAGAAAATAAAGGTGAGCATCTTATCCTTGTTGTTCTAACAGTCTTCGTGTTTGGAGCTCATTTATAGGCAGGCAGAGGTCTTTTTAATTCTAGACTATTAAGAGACGCTACTGAAGAAGAAAAGACTTAAAGTTTTCTATCAGCAAACACAAATGTATTCTCCAATGTAAAAAGAAGACGAGGGGAACAAAAGGAAGCGCCTCAGTGATGCTAGAAAATGAGTAAGAATTCCAAAGTTACTTAGAATCTAGGTGAATCTGGGTTTGGACTGAGCTGAGCAGGGTCCAGGGAGACCGGAGGTATTACTGTAGGATTTGTAGTCTGTGCAAAAAGTGCTAGGCAGGGTGGGACTATTTATAGGTGTGTGAATAGTTACTATATAAATAATCATGCCCTCAGTTTTTGAAAATCTGTTTTCTCTCTGCAGATTGTTAGTAAATGTATATCAAGCAGGCAGCCAAGAATGAAGAAAGCAAGCCGGAATATTAGTTCGGTGCCCAAAGTGCCTGGAATAACTAAAATGCAAACAGTAGAGAAAATTAAAACAGAGACCAGTTCCACAACGTCTGCAGCAACAAAACTTCCAAGAGCAGGAACAGCAGCCTCTTTCCTGAAGGTAAGCCACAACTCTTTTGAAGTACCGGGGAAAGAGGGCAACATCAACAGAGGACCCTGGCATGAGCAGCAGAGAAGATGCTGCAAATACGCCTGTATATTGTATATTGACAGTTTTTTTATTGTTGCCTCCTGTACATGGGGTTATACATTCTCTACAGGTAACAGGTTTTCTAACTGTAGAGAAATACAGACACAGAGAAAGCAGAACCTGCACTGTTTATGAAGTCTTGCAGATAGAAATAATTCTGCCTTCGGTGAATTTGAGTTGGACTCATCCAATTAATATTCCTACATTTTCACCCTTTTCCCATGATGCACTTAAAATTGAGTCTGGCACTTAGGTACAGCAGCTAGTCCTGAAGTTACAACCCACTCATTCAACAACTGTCCAAAGTTATGATGGCATTCAACGAGTGGTTTTTACAATTGGTGCTTTAGGTTCTGGCTGTGGCAGCACTCCCCAGGCAGGGAGGGCCAATTGGGTACTTAGCAACCAGCTTGCACCTGCTGTGGTTGCAGTCATCCTGCTGCTTTTCACAAGCAATGCCAATGAGGAGACCCAGTCCATAGCAAGTAGTGCCTGAATCCCCCACCCCCACTTGTGACCCCCACCACATTCCCTAGGCCCCATTTGCAGCATCCCCCTACAGCAATCGTGCACCCTACTGTGTTCCTGATCTGAAGGTCATAAAAAAATATAAAACATTTTTAGCTGCGAAGTTGTGTCTGACCCATCGCGACCCCATGGACAATGCTGTCCATGGGGTTTTAATGGCAAAGATACTGGAGTGGGTTGCCATTCCCTTCTCCAGTGGATCACGTTTTGTCAGAGCCCTCTGCTATGACCTGTCCGTCTTGGGTGGCCCTGCACAGCATAGCTCACAGCTTCATTGAGCTACGCAAGCCCCTTCGCCACGACAAGGCAGTAATCCATGAAGGGGATTAAAAACATAGCAGTTACGAATAATTGCCTATGATGCCCAAGGTAAATAGTGCAATGCAACCATAAAAAACAAGGGAGCTCTGAACTCCTGATCCAAATACCTGGGAAACAAGCCAGAGTCTCAGTGTCTTGTGAAAGGCTAACTGAGTCAGGGCTACCTGTATCTGTAGGGGATGCTGTTCCATAAGGCAAGTGCTGCCACAGAAAAAACATGATTTCTGTGTCCAACAGGATGACATATTTTAAATGGAGGGGACCCAAACCATGCCCCACTGCTTGCCCCACTCAGTGCCACAAGCAGAAACCATGGGAGAAAGGCAGCCCTACTCTAGAAAGGAGAGAGTAGTTTTGGGAAAGAGCAAAGTTCTACTACCAAGGCAATAAACAGATAAACATAAACTTTAGTTCCTACCAAGGTAGAGATTTATGAAACCAGCCTTCCATTCCCAATTCATATGACAATACAAGGCAGGAGGGGAAATATATTCAGACTTGTGACTACAAATATTCTAATAAAGAGACTGCCTACTGCCAATTACCTCCAATAGACCGATTAGATCCCACAGATTAGGCCGCCTCCGAATTCCATCCACTG